GCCGAAACAGAAGAGCAAAACTTTGAAGCGACCAGCCAAAAATTCTTCGATAGAGTATATGAGGCATATGGTATTGAAACGGAAGTTGCCTACACGCGTGATAACTTAACGATAAAAGGTGGCTTCACCTGGACGGACGCTGAAATTTACAATATCATGCAGAGGCGTACTTTCTACAGCAATAACGTACAATCAACCACCGCAAGCACTTGTAAGGTGCCCAAATGCAGAGTCACGTCCATTGACAGAGCCTTCCTGGGATGGAAGGCCTACTGGCTCCATAAAATATCTGCAAAAATTATATCAAAGCACGGGCCAAAACACTCCCCACGCTCCGTGGCGGATGGAAGTCCCGAATCTCGGACGGAAGGCCTATTCGTCGGATGGAAGGTTTCATCGCTGGTTTCATCCCTGTCGCAGCCCTCGTTATGATCATTCTTGACATGGCACTCACCTGTTGGCTACTTTGAATCCCACTCTTCCCGCCTTTCAGGTTTGAATGCCCTTTTTCCCGCCTTAAAACTGTACTCACTGGCTCTCTCTCTTTTGACTGCTGCTTTCCATCTAAGACACCCATCCATTGGCCATTCCCTCTGGAGACACCCATCCATTGGCCATTCTCTCTTGGGACACCCGTCCATTGGCTACAGAATTCGTACAACTATCACCTCGCACATCTACGCCTTCGCCCTGACACTGTGACTTTCATGCAATCGTTCCTTTCATCCACGACACCCGTCCATTGGCTGTGCCCACTTGGGACACCGGGTCGGGGTATACCTGCGGGGTTAGGGGGAATATATGTTATAGGGGTTGGCTGCTATTGGTGGCTAGTACTAGCGTGCAGTTGGGAACGTTTCGAAGTTTATTGAACTTCTTCATTAGCTCAGAGTTAGCGACGAGGAGTGCGGTGCTCGGTGTCGCGATCGGAGAGGGGGAAGGTACTCTCCTGTAGTGCTGTGCCTATTTTCTATATGATTTTGTGGGATGGCCTCTTCGCATGGGTTTTGAAAGTTAGGGGGGAGTGGGAGTCTCATAGTGTGTGGTAGTCACGGTAGTATGGTGTGTTCCATATTGTTGGAAATATGGGTCCGAGTGAAGTGGAATGTTCAATTGCATTAAGCATGTGATTATATGGCATTGATTTAGGCTCGTGTTCAATGGGGGATTAGGGGTTTGAGCTGACACTAACAAAGATGGCACTATATGGCGACCCCCCTGTAACAAAGAAAGCAAATCTGCAGAAGTGAAGATAAAAACTTCATGAAAACATATATAATCGACGGCTCTTTGCAAGCGCGTTTACTTGTTTTTGGTAGTCCACTGATCTCATCTTCTAGCAAAGACCATACCATTCTGTTGATCATTGCTCTATCATTGCTCGTTACATCTGCTTGTACATCGATACTCATAGCACAGCTATCGCATACCCGGCCCTCCTGTCTTCTGTCCAACGCCGAGAAATGCCAATGAGAAATTCTACACTTTACGTAATCATTCAAAGCTGTGTGACTATTCCTAGAACACTCTTGAATATTAATCATCCAAAACTACATGCGTATTCCTAGAACATTCTGAAATAGCCATGGAGCGACCCTGAATAGACCGGGGTCCTCGATTTCTGCAAATTTATCTGCTTCGGAGTCGTTCTCGTTACCATGGATCCATTTTTCAAATTCTTCTACCGTCCTCACAGAAGAGAGATGCTGGAATGCATCACGAAGCTCTTGTCTCATGTTTGTATCATTCCAAACTAGAAGAGCCATAGAAATAATCTTCTTGATAGGACAGTTGTTCTGACCAAAGGTTTTCGCTGGGTGCACAATAGACCCTAAACAGAAGCGGACACCACAACAGCGACATGCCCCTACAATACCCCGAAACATCGTACATTGTTTCACGCCATGTCCTTCCTGGCCGCATCGTAAACAACGACGGTTGTAGCATGCCCAATACCTTTCATCGGCATTGGGTTTGTGTTCCACGAGAGACGATTTCTTCACACTACATACAGGACAAAAGAACTTGGTCAGGCGAGGAGAATACCCAGTGCATATGTCTTTTGCACTGGCCGAGGTCTCAGAGGCGCAACTGCTCCACGCCTTCATTCGCGAGTCCTTACCAGGGCGTCGAGGAGGCGTAACCGTGTCCGATGGAGTAGGGCGTCGAGAAGGCGTAACCGTGTCCGATGGAGTATGCGCAACTTTCGATGGTGTTTGCAGAGATTCTGTCCTCTTTGGAGCGTTCACGCGCTTCCTTGTAGGTCGAATCTGAACTTCTTTCCTGCAGGTGTCCTCGTTTTGGAATTCGGAAGCACGTCTACGTAAACGTATTCCACTTCCTTCGGAAGAACAAATATCACAAGGCTCCATCCCACGTTCTTGACAAGGTCGGTGATCAGAACACCCGTCCATGAACAGGTCCACCAGCCACCGACGACACTCACCAGCTGCTTCTGTAAGCCCATGTACAGGACCGAAACCGGACAATTGCGGTTCAACTGAATGATTGAACTGATCGATAATATTAAGCACAGTACTTTTGGCAGGTTGGCCGTCACGACCGGCACGTCCGCTTTCTTGCACGTACTCAGTGAGCGTGCTTGGAAGACCAGCATGTACGACAATCCGAACAGTGGAGATGTCAATGCCGCATCCAAATGCTTTCGTTGCAACCATGACGTGCGGAAGTCCATCAGATTCATCTTCCCAGCCGGATTGCATTGCATTTCTGTCATCCTTTTCCATACCTGCATGATATTTGAAGCAAGGCATGTCCGGGTTCAGGGTTTGTAACATCATACAGAGCGAGTCACATTCATCTTTTGTTTGCACGTAAGTGATGGCTCTGGAGGGAGATGTACCGGAAACGTTACGCAAATAGTCAAGCATTTCGTCCACCTTACGATTGAGATTTTGCCTCTTCACGTTGTAAACTTCATACCTGATGTTCCGTCTCGACGTTTTCTGACGCACAGTGATGAAGTCTGACAATCCACATGCGGAAGTAATTTGTTGTTCAATGGACGGTGGGGCTGTTGCCGTTAGAGCGATAACTGGCACATTGACGAGTTCTGGACGAATGAAACCGCGCAAGTACTTCATGGCTTCTCTGAAACTGTGCCATAATAAAACCAGATGCCACTCGTCCACGAATATTGCATGCAGCTTATTCATAACCTTTAGTTCCCTAAGGAAACATTGATAGTCTGGTGAAGACAGATGCTCGGCGCTGGCGACAACAATACGTGCCCCGGCTACATCCCGCGCATTCCACTGACAGGCTTGGATACCTGCATCTTCGCAGCGTTTGATAAGGTCAAGCTGCAGAGCCACAAGTGGAACGACTACAACCATCACCTTTGTCTTGTGAGTGAAAGCGGGAAGCATGAAAGTCAACAACTTCCCGGCACCAGTTGGCAGGACGACCAAGGCGTCGCTCTTTGGTGCTACACAATGCACGACTGCCTTTTCTTGTTCCTGGGACTTGAAATGCGCGTCACTTTTATTAAGAAAAATCTGCAATTGCTTCAGCAGCGAAGGAGGTTGACAGATTCTCTTCTCGGGCAGAACGGCGTATCCCTCGGTACCAACCCATTCATTTAGTCGCCTTTTCCCAAGTAAAGAGTCGGAGATATGGAGAATGGCGTTGTGCAGGACCTCAACGCGAGTTTGAAGAGTCATTTCAAGACGCGAAATGTGACTTGTGACATCGATCGGATGGGTCCCTGCTGATGCATTAGTATCCAGTGCACTAGCAGTCATTTGCGGCTGCTCGTAGGCGTTCTCGTAAGAACATGGCTCCCCGTATTCCCGTGCAGTTTGTTTCGTGCTCCTCGCTATGCGCGAGGAAGTTTTCCACTACTCCACTGTGGTACTGCCGGTATTGACTGGTTCCAATTGGGATTCCCGCACTTTTCATTACCTTTTCGAAGCACTAGCGCAATCGAGAAATTCCGAAAGGCTCTCCACGGCTGGCGAACAGGTGGTCACGATGCCTCTCGCCTAGTGATATAGCACTGTCCACATGAACGTGGTCAAATTTTCTGACAGATGAACCTTCTGGGACCTCATTGGGTTTCGCGAGGAGGTCGACGAGGGCATATTCGACAGGGCCAATAACTGTTAAGTAGATGAGCAAGATACCCGCAGTAACAGCATCAGGATATCGCGCAATGGGACGGCCGACACCATCGTGCACATTGCGACCCTTGTGATACGTAATGACAGTAAACACGAGTACTGCTTGAGTGAAGATGTTCCGCTGTCCTACTGCCGTATTGCAAACCCGCAAAATCCCCAACTCGGATGCCCTTGCCGGTTCTCCTGAGCATACCTGCAAGAGCGTATATATATGTTCTTGTAGACTTTCGCAATCTTGT